AAAATAAAAAACTAAAGAAACCACTTAAGAAACAAAGCACTTCCACTCATCTGGTCAAACCACTACTAAATATCCCCATGCTGCTGATCACACGTATGGTGTAAATGTGTACACCATTATATGTTATAGACTGTGATAGACAATTTGCTCCAGGAAAGTTAGAATGAACTTGTGACTTTAAATGAGCATCATTATTCCACAATACTGTGAAATTTGGGAAATTATGCAATCACTTAATCACAATTAAAAAAAAAAAAAAGAACCTGGGGAAGGTAGGGAGGGAAGGGATAGTAGGGGGAAAACAATGGAGAGGATAACAATGTTTAATAGGAAGTGTACTCATTACCTTACTCATGTAACTGTAACACTCTGTATAGTATCTTTACAATAAAAAATTAAAAAAAAAAACTAAAGAAACCAGTACAAAGAAATATGGACCACATTCTTTGGTTAACAATATGATGTAACTAGAAATTTATTTTTTAAAAATGAGAAAACTAAAAGACCTTCAATTAAAAATTCTGGGCGCTGGTGGCTAATGCCTGTAATCCTAGCTACTCAGGAGACTGAGATCTGAGGATCTCGGTTCAAAGCCAGTCAGGGCAGGAAAGTCCGTGAGACTCTTACCTCCAATAAACCACTAGAAAACAGGAAGTGGCGCTGTGGCTCAAGGGGTAGGGTGCTTGCCTTAAGCTGAAGAGCGCAAGAACAATGCCCAAGCCCAGAGTTCAAGCCCCACGACCGACCAAAAGAAAATTTTTTTTTAATTTCTTAAACAATATGTGGGCCATAGGAGAAATACAAATGAAATTTGCAGTTCCCAGAAAATTATATAATAAAAACACATCATTTTAGTAAGTAAGAGTCTTCAATCAACAGTGACTAGAAGAAAATCCATTGTTTTCAATAGTTTTACTATTAAGAAAAGATGACTCAATGTCGGCCATTGGTGGCTCATGCCTATAATCCTAGCTACTTAGGAGGCTGAGATCTGAGAATTGTGGTTTAAAGCCAGGCCAGACAGGAAAACCGTGAGACTCTTTTAACCACTGTGAGACTCATTAACCACCAGAAAACCAGAAGTGGCACTGTAGCTCAAGTGGTAGAGAGCTTGTCTTGAGCTAAAGAGAACAGGGACAGAGCACAGGCCCACAGTTCAAACCCACAATCACCACCAACAACAAAAGAGATTATTCAAGAAATGGTAAGAAACTACTTTATAAAATTTGGGCTGGGAATGTGGCTTAGTGGTAGAGTGCTTGCCTAGCAGGCAGGAAACCCTGGGTTGCATTCCTCAGTACCACATATACAGAAAAGGCTGGAAGTGGCGCTGTGGCTCAAGTGGTAGAGCCTTGAGCAGAGAGGCTCAGGGACAGAGCCCAGGCCCTAAGTTCAAGCCTCACAACCAGAGGGGAAAAAAAATTCTTCCAGGCGCTAGTTGTTCACACCTGTAATCCTAGCTACTAAAGAGGCTGAGATCTGAGGATCTCTGGTTCAAAGCCAGCCCAGGCAAGAAAGTCAGTGAGACTCTTGTCTCCAATAAAACACCAGAAAACCGGAAGTGGTACCATGGCTTAAGTGGTTGAGCACTACCCTTGAGTGGAGGAGCCAAGAGCTGGGGGACACTGCCCAGGCTCACAACTGATTAAAAAAAAAAAAAACAACTACATTAAATTAGACTATTCTAGTGGCAAAGATATAAGGAAATAGGTACTTCCATTCATCGATACACAATATTTACAACCTTGCAGGGTGCTGGTGGTTCACATCTATAATCCTAGCTATTCAAGAGGCTAAGATCTGAGGACTATGTTTCAAAACCAGCCCAAGGCAGGAAAGTCTGGAGACTCCTAGCTCCAAAACACTACCAAAAACCAGAAGTAGAGCTATGGCTCAAGCAGTAGAACTCAAGCAGCCTTGAGTTAAAAGCTGGATGATGCCCAGGCCTAGAGTACTGGCACAAAAACTAAACTAAGAAAATGTACAGCCTTTATGGAAGGCAATCTGGCAATAATGACCACAATTATAATACACATCAATCTCACTTTCAGGAATTCATCCTGCATATACATCTAAATAAATAGGAAATTATTAAATAAATCATCTCTCAGTTTCACAAAAGAGGAAATTTTGTACTCATTTGAAAAGATATAAGGCTTCATGAAGGAATAACTAATTCTAGATTCTAGGCAGAAATATAGAATGAGGCAGAAATAACCTGTAGCTAGAGTGCTTTCAATAAATAGTCAATAAGACATTGTGCTTTGCCAATTAGACAGAATACTTATGTGGATAGAATAACAGAACAGGAAGTTGGGCACCAGTGGCTCATGTCTGTAATCCTAGCTACTCCTAGCTAAGATCTGAAGATTGCAGTTCAAAGCCAGCCCAGGCAGGAAAGTCCGTGAGACTCTTATCTCTAATAAACCACCAGAAAACTGGAAGTGGCACTATGGCTCAAGTGGCAGAAAACTAGTCTTGAGCTAAAGAATTGAGGGACAGCACCCAGGCACAGCGTTCAAGCCCTACAATCAACAAAAAAAAGAGAGACCTATGGGCTGGGAATGTGGCTTGGTTGTAGAGTGCTTGCTTAGCATGCAAGAAGCCCTGGGTTTGATTTCTCAGTACCACATAAACAAAAAAGCTGGAAGTGGTGCTGTGGCTCAAGTGGTAGCAAAGAAGCTCAAGGACAGTGTCCAGGCCTTGAACCAAGCCCCAGGACTGGTGAGAGAGAGGGGGGTAGGGGGGAGACCTCTGAAAATACTAACTAATCTCTGACTGGTCTAATTAATTTTGGTGGTACTAGTACTGTATGACTCCAAGTATGACACAATGAAAAGCACTTAAAAGGTATTTTAAACCAGAAGTAAGTCAAACTTTTAGCACTAGCTTTCATTTTAAGGAAACACAGAGAAACAAGGTAAGAACACAAAAAATTGAAAAGACAAACTTGGATTTTTCCAAATTCTACAGGACATGTGATTAAGGTTCTGCAACAAGTCAATGTCATAAAAGAGAAATGAAGGGGCTGGGAATGTGGCTTAATGGTAGAGTGCTTGCCTAGCATGCATGAAGCTCTGGCTTGATTCCTCAGTACTACATAAACAGAAAAAGCCAGAAGTGGTACTGTGGCTCAAGTAGTAGAGTGCTATCCTTAAGCAAAAGAAGCTAAGAGACAGAGTCCAGACCGTGAATCTAACCCCAAGACTGGCACAAAAAAAAAAAAAAAAAAAAAAAAAAGGAGAAGCCGGGCGCCGGTGGCTCACACCTGTAATCCTACTCAGGAGGCTGAGATCTGAGGATCACAGTTCAAAGCCAGCCCGGGCAGGAAAGTCCATGAGACTCTTATCTCCAATAAACCACCAGAAAACCGGAAGTGGCGCTGTAGCTCACGCGATAGAGCACTCGCCTTGAGCTGAAGAGTGCAGGGACAGCACCCAAGCCCAGAGTTCAAGCCCCACAACCGACCAAAAAATAAATAAATAAATAAATAAAAGGAGATAAATGAAGGGAGGGAGAGAACAAAAACTCAAATAACCAAACATGATATATGGATTTTGTCTGGATTCTGATTCGAATCAACAAATTAGAAAAACACAAAAACATATTTGAAAATACCAAAAAAAATGATGGTTTTAAATTTTCTTACATATAACATTATATTATTGTTAGTATAAGAAAACATACATATTTTCAAAGATGTACTGAAACGGTAGGGACAAAATAAACATGCTGTCCAGAACTGGATTTAAAAATTTAACTATATGGGCTGGGAAGGTGGCTTAGTGGTAGAGCGCTTGCCTTGCATGCCTGAGGCCCCGGGTTCGATTCCTCAGCACCACATAAGAAAAAAGCCGGAAGTGGCACTGTGGCTCAAGTGGTACAGCGCTAGCCTTGAGCTGAAGAGCTGAGGGACAGCATCCAGGCCCAGAGTTCAGGCCCCATGACCGGACCCCCCCCCCAAAAAAAATTTAACTATATAGGAAGAAACGTTGATAGATTAAAAAAGGGTAGAAAAATCCTGGCAATCTGAATAATGGTCATGGCAGTTCATGCTATTCTATTTTTACTTAAGCTTGAAGGTATTACTAAGAGAGCAGCTAAAAATGAGAATACCATTAGCAATATATTCGGCACCAGCAGTAGTCACAAATGCCTAGGGTTTGTTATTGTTGGGATTTTTTTTGGTTAGTCATGGGGCATGAACACTGGGCCTGAGTGCTGTCCCTGTGCTCTTCAGCTCAAGGAAAGCACTCTACCACTTGAGCCACAGCAACATTTCTGGCTTTCTGGTGGTTAATTGGAGATAAGAGTCTCATGGACTAGCCTGGCACAAGGTGGTGGCTCATGCCTATAATCCTAGCTACTCAGGAGGCTGAGATCTGAGGATCATGGTTCAAAGCCAGCCCAGGCCAGAAAGTCTTCCTTTCCCTTTCCCCCTTCCACTTCCTATCCCTATCCCTTTCCCTTTCCTTTCCTTCTTGTTGTGGACTCTGGGCCTGGGCACTGTCTTTCTAAGCTCTTCAGCTCAAGGCCAGAGCTCTACCACTTGAGCTATAGTGCTACTGCCAGCTTTTTCGGCTTATGTTGTGCTGAGGAATCGAACCCAGGGCCTCATGCATGCAAGGCAAGCACTCTACCACTGAGCTACCTTCCCAGCCCCAGAAAAGTCTCTCATATATATATATATATGAAATGTTGATTTTGAGTTTAAGGATAAAATCACGTTAGTTATAAAATAAAATTTCTTAGATGATTGCATCATACTTTTAGTATTTCCTTTTATGTGTTTGCTTCATGTTTGGTACTATTCCAAGGAAAGTTCTATATAAAGCTTTTGCAAATGAAACATAATAAAAATACAAAGATTTTTTCCAGTCTGTCATAATATACATCCAAACATTACTTTAAGACACTAGTATATATATGTATAAAATTCACATGCACATGCCATATAGAAATCACCTACTCAATTCAGAATATGGCTTTAGTTCCCTTACCATCAATATTAAGCATCATTTTCCACATGGCAGGCCGAACAGATTGATGGAATCCAAACCATACTTCCCTGCCCCCTCCCAGAGGGTGGTCATATCCTTCTGGAGCTGAGAAAAAGGAACGCCCCACAGGAGTGTATCTACAAAAATTAAAATAGCATGCTTAATCTTTTCCTTCCCATACAAATATTTTTCCCATCCAAGTATTTAAATCTGCAGACGAGAGGAGACTAAATAACAATTTACCATGATATTTATAATTATAAACACATGAAACTTACAATATTTTCCAACTTGTGAAAATAAAAAGTAGCTTTTCTCAACAAAATTTTCACTTTAAGAATATTCAGGGGGCTGGGAAGGTGGCTTAGTGGTAGAGCGCTTGCCTTGCATGCATGAGGCCCTGGGTTCGATTCCTCAGCACCACATAAGCAAAAAGAAAAAAAGCCGGAAGTGGCACTATGGCTCAAGAAGTAGAGCACTAGCCTTGAGCTGAAGAGCTGAGGAACAGCGCCCAGGCCCAGAGTTCAGGCCCCATGACTGGACCCAAAAAAAAAAAAAAATTCAATTCATGAAATAATAAATTTTATTTAAAATTCTTTTTTAAAAATGAATTAACAAGCCAGGCACCTGTGGCTCACCCTTGTAATCCTAGCTACTCAGGAGGCTGAGATCTGAGGATCAAGGTTCAAAGCCCACACAGGCAAGAAAGGCCATGAGAGTCTTATCTCCAATGAACCACTAGAAAACCGGAAGTGGTACTCAAGTGGTAGAGCACTCGCCTTGAGCTGAAGGGCTGAGGGATAGCACTCAGGCCCAGAGTTCACGCCTCATGACAGACAAAAGGAAAAAAGAATAGTAATAGATCAAAAAGCTATTTCTAGAATTGAGAGAATGGCTAAAGTGGGAGAATACTTGCTAAGCAAGTGTTAAGTTCAAACCCTAGTACTATCCCCACATGTCTACATGCATACATGTGCACGTGCACACACACACGCATGTACACACACACATACACACATATTAGTTACTCCTCTAAATGTTCTTCAAAATATATTACTTTCCTAAAAGACATATTTATGACACACATAAATAGATATGCGCACATGAAATGCTAGTTAGGATGAGTAAAAGACTGTCAGTCTTAATGCAATTTGATGTTATTGTATAAACAGCAAAACTATTTTAAAAACAGGATGACTAAAAGGATAGGAATATATCTTTCTCTTTCTTTTTCTTTTCTCTCGGGGCTTGAACTCAGGGCCTGGGCACTGTCCCTGAGCTTTTTTTGCTCAAGGCTAGCATTCTACCACTTGAGCCATAGTGCTACTTCTGGCTTTTTCTGTTTATGTGGGACTGAGGAATTGAACCAAGGTCCTCATGCATGCTAGGCAAGCACTCTACCACTAAGCCACATTCCCAGCCCATCAATAAGAATATATCTGAAAACAAATCAGCTATTTAAGATAGATAGCTCCAGCTAGGTACTGTTGGCTCACACCTATAATCCTAGCTACTGGGGAGGCTGAGTTCTGAGGATTATGGATCAAAGCCAGCAGGAAAACTGCCAAGACTCTTGTTTCCAATTAACTACCAGAAAACTGGAAGTGGAATTATTCCTCAAGTGGTAAAAAAAAGAGCTCAAGAACAAAAAAAGAGTTAAAAAAAGAGCTCAAGAAGCCGGGTGCTGGTGGCTCACGCCTGTAATCCTAGCTACTCAGGAGGCTGAGATCTGAGGATCGCGGTTCAAAGCCAGCCCGGGCAGGAGAGACCATGAGACTCCAATAAACCACCAGAAAACCAGAAGTGGCGCTGTAGTTCAAGTGGTAGAGCACTCGCCTTGATCTGAAGAGCTGAGGGACAGCACCCAGGCCCAGAGTTCAAGCCCCACGACCGACAAAAAAAAAAAAAAAAAAAAAAGAGCTCAAGAACAACAGCCAGGCCCTGAGGTCAAGCTCCACGACTGACAAATAAATAAAAAGTATAGCTCCTAAAAGAAAGGACTAGTTCACTTTTTTTTTTAACAGAGCAATTCAGGAAGGACTGGACAATGGGCTCTTAGGAAGAATGCCTTCATATTTAGCATCTAAAGACAAAAGCCAGAAACACCCACTTCATGGAGGGCAGATGTCGGAGCACCACATCAACGGCATGGACAGGGTTAGTGCTGATGGGCTTGTCTAATTCCAGTGGTTCAGGCAAACTTCGTCCTGTCAGTACTTCATGTAGTAGGTGCCAGCTCACTCGAGAGATAAATTTGATGGATACCTTGAAAGGTCGATCTTTCCCACCTTCTCCTGGTAATGTAACATCTAAATCTACCTGTTGATAGGATAAGAGTCAAGTAGCAAAGGTTAAAAGATAATACAAATTATTTCAAGTTTAAATCATAAAAACATCTGAGAAAAAAGGCAAAAATAAAATCAATCTCAAAGATCTATAGTATAGATTAACAGAATTATATTTAAGTAACATAGTTATTCATGTCAGCATTATTCATCATTGCAAAATACTGGTAATTATCTAAATGCTCTAATATAGCCAAAGGAGAAAAAAAGATCTTGCTATGGAACAATTTCCAAGCTATATTATTAAATGAATGAAGCACAGTGCGAAAACCTGCAAATAGTATGGCATCTTTTGTGTAATAAATAAGGATTGCCAGGCACCAAGTGGCTCATGCCTGTAAAATGTAAGAAAATATTTATCAACTGTGTGATAAAGGCTTAACATCCAGACCATAAAATACACTTGTATAGTTTATTAACAGAAACAGCCAAACTAGGTGCCAGTAGCTCATGCCTGCAATCCTAACTACTCTGGAGACTGAGATCTGAGGATGGTAGTTTGAAGCCAGCCTAAGCTGGAAAGTCAGTGAGGCTCTTATCTCTAATAAAAAACAAAAACAAAAACACAACCTGGAAGTGGAGTTGTGGCTCAACTGACAACCTTGAGCAAAAGAAGCTCAGGGAGCTGGGTGCCAGTGGCTCACGCCTGTAATCCTAGCTACTCAGGAGGCTGAGGTCTGAGGATCGAGGTTCAAAGCCAGCCCAGGTAGGACAGTTTGTGAGACTCTTATCTCCAATAAACCACTAGAAAACCGGAAGTGGTACTGTGGCTCAAGCAGTAGAGAACTCGCCTTGAACTGAAGAGCTGAGGGACAGCACCCAAGCCCAGAATTAAAGCCCCACAAGCAACAAAAAAATATCTATTAAAAAAATAAAAAGGGCTGGGAAGGTGGCTCAGTGGTAGAGCGCTTGCCTTGCATGCATGAGGCCCTGGGTTCGATTCCTCAGCACCACATAAGAAAAAAAAGCCAGAAGTGGCACTGTGGCTCAAGTGGTAGAGTGCTAGCCTTGAGCTGAAGAGCTGAGGGACAGCGCCCAGGCCCAGAGTTCAGGCCCCACGACTGGACCCCCCCCCCAAAAAAAATAAAATAAAATAAAATTTAAAGTAATAGGGCTGGGAAGGTGGCTCAGGGGTAGAGTGCTTGCGTTGCATGCGTGAGGCCCTGGGTTCGATTCCTAAGGACAACATAAGCAGAAAAAGCTGGAAGTGGCACTGTGGCTCAAGTGGTAGAGTGCTAGCCTTGAGCTGAAGCGCTGAGGGACAGCGCCCAGGCCTAGAGTTCAGGCCCATGATCAACAAAAATTATCTAGCAGCATTATTCTTAGTTATATACCTAAAAGAATTAAAGGAAAAGTATCAGAGATGTTGTACATCCATGTTCATAAAAGGATTATTTTTCCAACTGCTGAATGGTGTCCACTAACAGAAAATGAATAAATAAAATATATATCCAATGAAATATCATTTGGTCTTCAAAAGGAAGGAAAATAGAACATATGCTACAACATGGAAAAAGCTTGAAGACATTATATTAAGTGAAGCCAGCCATACACAAAAAGACAAAATGCATGATTTTACATAAATGAGGTACCTAAAAGAAATCAAATTTAAAGACAGAAAGGAGAACAGTCATTGCCAGAGGCTGAGAAGAGGGAGCTATAAGAAGTTATTTAATACGTACTGTATTAAGTTTCAGCTTGCAAGATACAAAATAAAATCAGGTATGAGGGTTGTTAATGATGTTGGTGATCATATATGTAACAATGAGAATATACTTAATACTGCTGAGTGGGTACCTTGAAATGGTTAAAATGGACGTTTGTTTACATGTATTATGTCACAATTTTTTTTAATGGTATTGGGGTTGGAACTCAGGATGCTGCGCTGCTAGGCAGTTTTCTCTACTACTTGAGCCATGTCACAGCCTCATATAATTTTTTCTTTTTTGGTTGTGGGGCCTGAACTCTGGGCCTGGGCGCTGTCCCTCAGCTCTTCAGCTCAAGGCTAGCCCTCTACCACTTGAGCCACAATGCAACTTCTGGTGTTTTATTGGAGATAAGGGTCTCACGGACTTTCCTGCCTGGACTGGCTTTGAACCGTGATCCTCAGATCTCAGCCTCCTGAGTAGCTAGGATTACTGGCGTGAGCCATCGGTACCCGGTTAATAACTTTTTTCTTAAGTACTGCCTCTTAACAATAAGGAGAAAAAGAGTATTTTCATAGAAGAAACAACTTCACCAAGCAATCAAAGTTAATATTGATGGAACAAGTACAAATATAATGCTCTGATAAGGGAAGAACATGTATATAAATCCTTGCTACATATACCTAAGTAAATATAATGTAAATGTAAATTAAATGTAATTAATAGAGATTCTACAAAATAACTTGTCTATGAGTCAATCTTCAATGTAAACAGCATGAAATAAAAAAGTAAAAGTAAGGGAAGAAAAAAGGTTAGGGCACTGTTCTATTTTTTTTGTAGGTCGTGGGGCTTGAATTCTGGGCCTGTGCGCTGTCCCTCAGCTCTTCAGATCAAGGCGAGCGCTCTACCACTTGAGCTACAGCGCCACTTCCGGTTTTCTGGTGGTTTATTGGAGATAGGAGTCTCATGGTCTCTCCTGCCTGGGCTGGCTTTGAACCGCGATCCTCAGATCTCAGCCTCCTGAGTAGCTAGGATTACAGGCGTGAGCCACCAGTGCCTGGCTAGGGCACTGTTCTTTAATGATGGATAAGAAGATATGATGTCTGTATCCTACCTGAACTGGATACTGTCATAGAGTGTGGGGAGAGGAGATGCTAAACATCATCACTGAAACAACTGAATAAACTGGGATATGGATTATTGATCAAAAGCAAGTATCACATCAATGTTAAATTTCATGAAGTTGAGTAGGTGCTAGTGGTTTATGCCTGTAATCCTAGCTACTCAGGAGGCTGAGGTCTGAGGATGGCAGTTCGAAGCCAGCCTAGGAAGAAGAGTCCCTGTGAGACCCTTATCTCAAATTAACCACTCAGAAACCAGAAGTGGTGCTGTGGCTCAAGTGGTACAGTGCTTGCCTTGAGAACAGAGGTTCAGGGACAGTGCCCAGGCCATGAGTTCAAGCCCTACAACCTCCTACCCCCCAAACACAAAATTTTAATGAAGTTGGAAACTATACTTTGGTTTTTAATCCTTATTCTTAGAAAATAAACATTAAAATATTGAACATTACAAGGACATGATATATACAACTAAATTGTGAATGGTCCTGGAAAAAACAAACAAGCATGTATATACATCTCTATATATAGTTATAACTAAAAAGAGAATAAGGCTAAAGATGTGGCGCATGAGGCACTGAGTCCCAGTACCCCTCCTACACAAAAGAGAAAGGGAAAAAAAAGAGAGAAAGGGGAGGAGGAAGGAATAAACAAATGTGAGCAAGAGCAAAATAGAGGAAGAAAATTATAAAACTAAGGAGGTTGGTGATCTGAGTAAGGGGCATATATATCAGAGTTCCCTTATACGTAATTCTTACTTTTCTGGAAATCTGAAAATATTTTAACATAAAAAATTAAAAAGATAAGTGATATTATATATTTATTCAAATAGATTTCAAAATGATAGTAAATTTAATAGGAGACATGGTAAAATTACAGCTTTATAATAACAAAATGCACATCTTACCCCACTTGTTGCCACAGGAAGTGGATTGGCTGTATAAAGGCTTCTCTTTCCATCATAAACTGGTCTACGGTCTCCAAATATAGTGACTTTAAAATGCTGAACCATTGAGTCAACTACTTCTCTAAAGAAGGGGAAAAATTAATTAATATAATTCTCTGTAAAATGAAATGCAAAAATATTAACTAAAATAATGTATGACACAGTTTAAAAATGCTAAAGGAGCAACAAAGAATTTGCTTTTAGAATCAATGCTTAGGATAACCAAAGGATTAATTGCTGGCAGAGTGTAACATGTATAACATGGAGAAGAATGAATCTAGTAAATTACTTAATCATCCTGGGACATAGAAACTACTTAAAATCTCTTTCATCTTCATTATGCCCTTCCTGACACATTCATCTCTTTCTTAAAGAGTAAGATGCCCTTTGTACTATGCTGAAATAGCAACTATTAGAAACCCCTAATCTATTATTATAATTATTGTTCTTACCATGAGCCTGTTTTTATTGGGTATGTGAGGGATGGTCAGTGCTGGGGTTGAACTCAAGGCCTTCTGCTTGTGAGGAAAGTGCTCTACCACTTGAGTCACTCTAACAGCACTTTATGTTTTGTTGTTGCTGCTGTTCTTGTGGGGCTTGAACAAAGGGCCTGGGTGCTATTTTTGAACTCTTTTGCTCAAGGCCAATGCTTTACCACTTTGAGCCACAATACTACTTCCAGTTTTCTGGTAGTTAACTGGAAATAAGAGTCTCACACTTTCCTCCTGGGCTGGCTTTAAACTGCAATCTTCAGATCTCAGCCTCCTGAGTAGATAGGATTATAGAAGGAGCCACAAGTTCCTTGCATATGTTGGTTATTTTTGACATTTTATTTATTTTTGTGCTGGTTCTAATGCTTGAACCTAGATCCTCAGAGAAAGATTGGGCTTTTTCACTCATGGCTGACACTCTAACACTTGAGTTACACTTCCAGTCCTGTGTTGGGTATTTTTAAGATAGGGTCTGGCTTTTATATCCTCACCAACCTGCACTGGGATCTTCTTATTGTTGCTTCACTGGGATGACAGGAATGGCTGTTGTGCTCCTCTTGAATTTGCAATAGGTGCATACTACTACTGACCCAGGCATAGGCTGAGATGTAGTTTCACTAACTTTTTTTGTTTTTTTGTTTTTTTTTGGTCCAGGCTGGCCTGAAACCATAATTCCCCAATCTCTGACTCCCAAGTAGCTAGGATTATAAGCTTGAGCCACCATACTCTGCACTGAGAACTTCTTGTAAGCAACAAGTGCCCTTCTATTCCTCTTAACCTCATAGAAGTATCTAATAAGGATACTACGATACCTTCATTTTCAGCCAGTATTTTAGTTTAATACATTGATAAGGAAAGATGTTTGATATACTTTTTTTTTTTAAGTTACCGACCAAGATGGGCATTGGTGGCTCTTATCTACTCAGGAGGCTAAGATCTGAGGATCACAGTTGGAAGCCAGCCTGGGCAGGACAGTTTGTCAGACTCTTATCTCCAATTAACTACCCTAAGACCGGAAATAGAGCTGTGGCTCAAAGTGGTAGATAGTTAGCCTTGAGTGAAAAAGCTCAGGGATAGTGGCTGGGAATGTGGCCTTGTGGTAGAGTGCTTGCCTAGTATGTGTGAAGCCCTGAGTTCAATTCCTCAGTACCACATAAACAGAAAAAGCTGGAAGTCACACTGTGGCTCAAGTGGTACAGTACTAGTGTTGAGCAAAAAAGATGCTCAAGGCCTTGAGTGCAAGCCCGATGATTGACACACAAACACACACACACAAAGTTACAAACCACAGAAAATGAATGTAAATATTCACAAATCATTATTTATTTTTGTACACTCATATTCACAAAAACAGTGAAAATGTATCTGAAAGGATATATACAAAGAGATCTATATAACTAGAGAAGGGAGCAACAGGATCACAGGATAATTTTTATTGTTTACACAATGTGTATTCAAGTGAAGCATACTCACATACTATTGGTATAATTTTACATAAAATTAAAAGTTTTAAATCTATCTTAGTAGCAAGCAATCACTAGCAAGTAGTGATTATAGAGACAGAGCAACAAGCATTTCCCAGAACAACAAAATCAAGCTGATTTGATTTTCAGAAGGAGTTTCTACATACTACAAATTTCTTTTCCCCTTTCCAATTTTGTTTTACTGGAAATATTTAAGGCAATAGCCAGTCTTTCAAAAATAATTTTGACAGCAAAGATCTGATTCATTCATGCAGACTTTCTCACCATGACTTTCACAGAGTACAATCACTCTCAAAATAAAGTTATCAGCTTAACTGGTATGGTAGAGAATCAGTTGTGAGAAAGGAAGACAAGGGAGAGTAGGAGACCTAAGTTCAAGCCTTGGTACCAGCACAAATACAAAAATTATCATGTGTTCTAGGTCAAACTATTAGTTATTATAATTGTTATTTAGACATATACAGTAAAAGGCTGGGAAGGTGGCTCAGTGGTAGAGCGCTTGCCTTGCATGCATGAGGCCCTGGGTTCGATTCCTCAGCACCACATAAGCAAAAAGAAAAAAGCCAGAAGTGGCATTGTGGTTCAAGTGGTAGAGCGCTAGCCTTGAGCTGAAGAGCTGAGGGACAGTGCCCAGGCCCAGAGTTCAGGCCCCACGACTGGACCCCCCAAAAAAAGACATACAGTAAAAAGAAATAATTATTAACTACAAATAGCAAAAGAACACCATGACTTCTTACCTATTCACTCTCCTAGGACATTTGTCTGGTTTAATATCTACTTCATAGAGGTAGACATCAATCTTTGGGATTTCAACTTGAAAACAGTTAGCCAGTAGTTTGATGGGTTTGCCCATGGTGCCATAGCCAGGTCTTCTGGGCACCATGAGTAGGGGCTGGGCCCCAACAGGTCCTGCCAAAGAGGGGAAAAAAAATGTTTCACAGTTACAAATTGCATTGGATATAATCTTAAAAAAGAGAGTATATGAGGATTGCAAGAATAACACATAATGTTAAAGCCAAGTGTTGAAAAATGACACTGTTCTTAGAACATCAACTTAAAAAACTGTAAACAAATAATTTCTTGCTATTGTACAGTAAACAGTCTATTCTACACATAGGCAACTCCACAGTTGCCTATGTGTATATTCTAGAGTAGGTCATATTTCAGACTACAATTTATCATTTGACCTTCATCAAATACTTATCTCTGAGTTAGTTTTCTGACCTAGCAAATAGGTGTAATAACTGACCCGACTTTTTTTCTTATAACCTTATCAGGATCAAATTAGATAACATGCACTAGATAAAATTTAGCAAGCTCCTTACTAAGTCCTGAACAATATACAAATGCTTCACATACATTAGGTCATTTAATTTTTAAACCAACCTTACAAATTTGAGATCAATTTTCACGTTCTATTTTGCACAAATAATGTGTTCAAAAATGTACTGCTAGCTGGGCTCTGGTGGCTCATGCCTGTAATCCTAGCTACTCAGGAAGCTGAGATCTGAGGATTAATAAGGTTCAAAGCCAGCCTAAGCAGAAAAGTACGCATGAGACTTATCTCCAATTAACCACTCAAAAAACAGAAGTGACAGGCTCAGAAGGTGGCTCAGTGGTAGTGATTGCCTCCCATGCATGAGGCCCTGGGTTCAATTCCTCAGCACCACATAAGCAGAAAAAGCCAGAAGTGGCGCTGTAGCTCAAGTGGTAGAGCACTAGCCTTGAGCCGAAATGCTGAGGGACAGCACCCAAGCTTAGAGTTCAGGCCCCACAATCAACCAAAAAAAAAAAACCAAAAAACCCAAAAGTGATGCTGTGGCTCAAAGTGGTAGAGCACTAGCTTTGAGCAAAGGAGCTCAAGTACAGCACCCAGACCCTGAGTTCAAGCCCTATGACCAACAGAAAAAAAAGTGTGTTGTTAGTAAGTAACAGAGTTAGAATTATAACCTACTATACTGAACTCTATATTGCCTCATTCTTTTTACTCAAACTGACAAAGACTAGAATTCTGTTCCATAAGTAAGCAATGCAAAGAACTATATGGTAACTAATGGAAGAAACAGTTCTGTCAATACATTATGCTTCCAAGGACGCACGTTTTACTTATTTAGCACACGTGTGCACGCACGCGCACACACACACACACATGCACATACACACACACGCGCGCGCGCGCGCGCGCAAACACACACACACACAAATTGAAAATATCTTGTTGTGGGCTGGGATGTAGCTCAGTGGCAAAGCGCTTGCCTAGCAAGTGCAACGTCCTGGGTTCGATCCCCAGTACCAAAAAAGAAAAGACAAAAAAAAAAAAATACAGTTAAAAAAAAAAAGAAAAGAAAAGAAAATATCTTGTTGTGTGCCAGTGGCTCATGCTTGTAATCCTAGCCAGGAGGCTGAGATATGAGGATCACAGTTCAGAAGCAACCAGGCAGGAGGAAAGTCCCAGAGACTCTTATCTCCAATTAACCAGAAGTGGAACTGTGGCTAAGTGGAAGAGTACTAGCCTTGAGCAAAGGAAGAAAGAAAGAAAAAAAAAAAGCTCAGGAACAGAGCCTAAGCCCAGAGTTCAAGTCCTAAGATCTGCCAAAAAAAAAAAAATAATAATAATGTTCTTACAGAAAAAGACATAGCACTAGCAAGAATTTCTATCTTAATCCTGTTATCCTAGCTACTCAGAAGGCTGAAATCTCAGGATTACAGTTCCTAGCCAGCAGGGGCAGCAAAGTCTTGAGAGTCTTAAGAGTCATGAGACTCTTATCTGCAATTAACCACCAGAAAACTAGAAGTAGTGCTATGACTCAAAGTAAAGCATTAGACTTGAACAAAAGAAACCTCAAGAACAGTGCCCAGGCCGTCAGTTCAAGCCCCAGGAATGAATATATATATATATATGGTTTTCTTCTGGAAAAATAGACTGATCTATAAATTTGACATAAAATGCCTCTGACCTTTTTTTCTTTTCTTTTCTTTTTTTTGGCTGGTGTGTGCTTGAACCCTGGGCCCAGGCACTGTCCCTGAGCTCTTCAGCTCAAGGCTAGTGCTCTACCACTTGAGCCACAACACCACTTTTGGTTTTCTGGCGGTTTACTGGAGATAAGAGTCTCATGGACTTTCCTGCCCAGGCTGGCTTTGAATCATTATCCTCAGATCTCAGCCTCCTGAATAGCTAGAATTATAAGCGTGAGCCACCAACACCCTGCTACCTCTGATTTTTGTACATCTGTTTTTTGGTGTGTCCTGGTTCTAGGGCTTGAACTCAGGGTCTAGACACTGTCCTTGTGCTTTTTTTGCTCAAAGCTAGTGCACTACCACTTGAGTCACAGCCCAACTTCCTGCTTTTTGGGTGCTTAATTGGAGATAAGAATCTCTGACTTTTCTGCCCTGGCTAGCTTGGAACCATGATCCTCAGATCTCAGCCTCCAAGTAGCTAGAGTTACAAGTTTGAGCCACTGGCACCTGGCTGATTTTTGTAAATTTTAAGCAACCAGGCTAACTAGCAAACACTAGTATGGGACTTTTAGTAAGCTCCTACTTGCAAATTCCACTTATTTGCTTAATAAATCTGTCTAAAACCTTCTTCACTATTATGCTCATATTTATTGTCTAAAACCTACTATACTTAATATTATGCTCCTATTAATCACATTCCCCGTGGCTTAAAAATCTCATAAACTATCAGGCATGTTGAGGTTCAGTTTCTCAGCACTATAGGGAATTTTTTTTTTTTTTTCCTTTTTGGGCAGTACTGAGAGTTTGCATTTGAGGCTACAAGCTTGCTACACTGGTGAGATAGCACTGAGTGATATATTTTTGTCTGCTTATTTTTAGGATAGTTTCTCCCTTACCACCAGAGCCCACATCTGAGACTGAGCCAGGGCCCATGCCCAACCCTAGGATTCTTACAGTTAGAGATCACAGGGTCCCACCACTGAGTCCTGTTTTCCTCAGTGGAAGTAAGAGTTTTGAGGACTTTTCTGCCTGTCTAGTTTGGCATGGCAATCTCCCCAATTCAGTCTCCCATGTAATTCAGGATGACAGCTGTGCCACTGTACAACCAGGTAAGGCTTGAGAAGGGTTTTTGAGGTTTTTTTGTTATTGTTGTTATTAGTTGTGGGGCTTGAACTAAGGGCCTGGGTACTGTCCCTGAGCTTTTGTGCTCAAAGCTCCACCACCTGAGTCACAACTCTACTTCTGGCTTTTTGGTGTTTAATTGGAGATAAAGAGTCTTACAGACTCCGGGCGCTGGTGGCTCACGCCTGTAATCCTAGCTACTCAGGAGGCTGAGATCTGAGGATCTCGGTTCAAAGCCAGCCCGGGCAGGAAAGACTGTGAGACTCCTATCTCTAATAAACCACCAGAAAACCGGAAGTGGCGCTGTAGCTCAAGTGGTAGAGTGCTCAGCCTTGAGCTGAAGAGCTGAGGGACAGCGCCCAGGCCCAGAGTTCAAGCCCCACGACCGACAAAAAAAAAAAAAAAAAGTCTTACAGACATTCCTGCTAGAGCTGGCTTTGAACCATCAGATCAGTGATCATCAGATCTCAGCTTCCTGAGTAGGCAGGATTACAAGCATGGGCCACCAGAGCCTGGCCTGAAGTAGCCCATTTTATAATCTCTAAATTTTGGCCCTGACACTTGAACTGTGTTCAAGTTGTCCCTGAGTTGTTTTTTTGCTCAAGGTCACAGCTCTACTTCTGGATTTTCTGGTGATTAATTGGAGACAACAGTCTTACAAACTTTCCTGCCCAAGCAGGCTTTGAACCACAATCCTCAGATATCAGCCTTTGAGTTGCTAAGATTACAGATGTGGGTGACCAACACCTGGCCTTTAACTATTTTTAAAATTCAGAGGATTTTGAAATAAATAGTATTAGTAAAAAATAATAAAAAATAATTTAAAAAGTATTAGTAAAACAAATATTAGTAGTGAGTATTAAGAGTAATCAGTAGAAATATTAGTAAAAAAGGTATCGACGTAAACCTGTAATTGAAAATGTTCTGTTGTAAACTTTTACCTAAATATAAAAAAATTGCTTTATTATTTTATTATGCTGATATTTCTGACAAACATGTATAACTTCTTGTTGTAACAAAGCTACAAATGTCTACACTTATAAGAGAAAGCATTAGTTATATGACCACGTTTTGCTGACTCTCAACAATCTCTTTCTGTTTTTGAAAGCAGTGACTAGCCAAAGAAAGTCATTAATATTTACATAGATAATGGCAGAAAAACCACAGAAATTCCAAATACCTATAGAAAGGCTGTTATATATATTAACAGCATAACCATTATGGATGAAAGCCACACAATATTCTTTCTCACATCTGTTTACTTTGTGAGCCAAGAATGAGAGTCTATTTGGGTATCCTAGACAACTGAATTTCAAAGTAGGAATGCCTGGTAAATGCTGCTAGTCCCAGCGTCCAGAGACTACATCAGTCTGGAAAAGATATCAGTTGTAAATAAAGTATCTTTTTAGTTTTACCTTACTGAACACAGAATTATTCCTCTGGCATTTCTCTCCTGTACATTAATTTTTTTAATAAATTACTTTTTTAAAGTTTAATTTTAAGTCCTATAATAGAATGTGTTTAGCTAGAATAACAAGATAATTTGTCTTTTAGGTAGACTCAACTATTTTAGGAATATAAAAACAAATGTGAACTGGATGGTTTTATTATAAAGTAAAATAGTTTTCAACTACAGTCCAACAGTTAAAGACAATTTGGCAAGAATTTGCTGAGCTAAGGTTTTTCCATATATAACAGAATACTTCCTGGAAATAACCCCTGTACAGAGCCCCAGATTCTTTGCATATTGTGAGGACAGTATGTTCCAGTAAACATATAAACTAATATAAATAATTCTAAATTATCTATATAATACTTAAAATTCTCCC